TCGATGAAAGCCCCAGCCTCAGGGGAGTAATAGGCGATGGAGAGATGTGAAGTGATGTTAGAGCCATTCTTCTGTCTTCTCCTCATTAGTTATGCATGGTCTGGTGGATGTCTAGGTGAGCCAACCCCATCCAAGTGGGAATAATCAAACTGGCTGACTTGCCCTCAATGTCCTCACCTTACGGGAGGGGAGATGGGGGATGCAGTGAGGAAAAAATATTGATTTTGAGAAAGGTTTGTCAGTTGTTGTTTAAACGCATCAGTTAGAGTGCATTTTAAGCACTTTTGACTAAACAAGTTACATTTTTAAAGAGTGAAAAACACACTACGTAGTTGCTAATTTTTTTTTAGGTAATGACGAGTGCACGCTTAAATCTTTGCACATATGCTTTTCCGTCAGGTGGTTGGACAGTTCGGGTTGTCAGGAGTTTAGGAAATTGTTGGCAGATTTAACATTCACATATAACTTTTAACAACTGCTGTTGTCCTGTTTTATCCGCTCTGTTAATAAATTTTGTGGTTGTAGCCGTGAATCTCAGAAATTATAGGCTCCGTGGCCTGCCCAGCATTAGAACGAGTCTGGGTATGTGGTAGAACAGAACTAATTCTTCATAAGAGGCGCCCTAGCAAGAGCAAAATTTTGACGAATCTGGATTCCCCTCGTAGTGACAAGCGACCTCTTTCACTGATCGGTGCGCTCATCAAGGAGTGTGACATACACAGCCATTTGGGGAGATGGGAAAAGGGCGTGATGGGAGGGTACTTAGGGTAGGATAAGCTCAACTAAAAGCATCATGCGTCGTGCCAAGGAACAAGGAGACGCAAGGAGAAGATCGGTAGAACGTGCGTTATTAGCAAGGCCTAGTGACAGGAGAAATTCGTTTATTCCCAGCCTATGCGATAGTAATAAGTCATTATAACTCAGACGTCGGATAGCGCGCGCGGAGTGCCCACCTCGCCGAAAGGCTGCCCACCTATCCCTAGCACCGCGTTCGCCTGGCTGTCCGACTGCTCTCCAAACTCTGCTACGTTACGCCTGACTGATACATAGAGTGCCAATAGAGTCCATAGAAATGCGCCCCTTTAGTTGATAACGTAGAACCGATTTAACGCTACCACACTAAAAGCGTCCAGTGAGAATTTTCTTACCACTTCCCGATTTGACTCAAATTGTCTTCGCCTCTAGAAGCATGAAGGAAGTCTACCTGCATGCGGTACTATGTTGGTGTACCACCTCCATCCGCACAAAGTGGTAAATCAACAACTACTACTGCTGCTTGCATGCTTGCCTGTTATGAGTCATCGAAACTACTGACATTTCCGACAGACAGGGAGGTAGGCAGCCAGATAGTCGTGATATCGTAGAGAGAGGCGGGGGACAAGAGAGAATAGGCAAGAGGGGTGGTGAAGAGAGAGATGAAGGTTCGCTCGACTCCACCTCCCATTTGTCTTTTTTTTTATACTTACAAATGTCAAGAGATTATTCTATTAATTTTCTCATTAACAAGAATTCTGTCGCCTTGACTTGGATCTCCCTTTTCCTGTTTTTCGCCTCCTTCTGTTCCCTTATGTGCGTGGGGAGAGCTGATACTTCCCATTAATCTCCCCATTCGCCTTGAGAGTGGAGAGGTGGGTCGAGCTGGCCTCAGTGCACTCCTCCTCCCCTGCATCAAACTGGTCAGGAAGTGGGAGCCATTGCTGTTGGGTGTCTGGTCTTACCAAATGACACGCTTCTGCAAATCAGCACTTTGTAATCCTCTGTTCAAGATGGAACCATTCAAAGCTAAAAATAATTTCCCATATGCGGTGCCCTGAAGGAAGCCAGCTGATATAGTGAGGTGATGGCAAGATGCCCTAGGAAGGAAAGTAAGAAAATTCTGTGATCTTAAAGATTCTACAGCGAACAGTTCTTCAAAATTCGTTTTTTTTTTTTTCGAATAGCCTACCATCAATTAGAAGGTGGCAGTATTCCTTAGTAAGCTTTTTTCCTTTGCGTACTTTGCTCTTTTGGAGGCACCCTTTTTCAGTGATTTTACAGCCTTCCAATCATCTTCACGTGTGAATGCAACCACGGGTGGTGGTGTTTGGACCTCTCGAGGTCAATTAATTTGGGTCAGAATATGAAAGTAAGCTGCTAAATGGCGATCGGTAGGTGAATGGGAATAAATTGTGGTTTATTGCAAGTCCATGCAATGGCAACACGTGTCCCTCCGCCTTAACAAGTCGCCGAACTAACAAAAAAATGACCGAGATAAACCCCACTGTCACCGAAGGCGTTATTAAGGTAGTGAAATATGGGAGAAGGAAGGGGAGATAAAGGCAGAAATGGCATGATCATCCACATGTTTTTTACTGCCACTCTCCCTTCCTTCCCCTTCTACAAAAAGTTGCCCTTTTTGGGGGAGGGGAAATCTATTCCTTCTAGGAAGCTTTGAAATTGTTACAAGACACTCGACCCCACCCAGTCAATTCAGCGGCAAGTAGAAGAGTCGTCGATTGCGCCTTGATTAAAGGGAAGGCTTTTTGTGTCTTTTTGTTGCCTCAAAGAGAGCTACAAACTTGACGATGCACAATAATTTCCCTTAGGTTATAATTGACATAAAAACAAGCATAAGTTGTACGTACTGTGGCTACCTTTTGAATCGCTTTTAGGCCGTTTGCCTCTCCCGACTTGGCTTTACTTTTAGTCGTCAGAAGTCTTCTGGTTTACCAGAGAGATGCAAATAGGCAGAGGATCTTAAGGAAGGCTTAAAATTTTCCTCTGGTGGCAAGAGGCCAATCATTCCTCCTCTCGAGGAAGTCAACAAGGAACTAATTAATAGACGAGAAGTCAATCACTTTGTGGCGACAATAAACCCAATATGGCATCTATGAAGAAAGGAAAGTGCAGAAATTTCCTGCATTCTTATTTTTATATGGAGAGCCTAAGTTTTCCCATTTTAGGTCATTTAATGTGTGCTCATGCACAACTGAGACGTGTGAATTTGTTGACTCACATTCCCAATTTATTCATGCAACCACCTAAAAATAAAACCCTTGGTCATGTGGTGTGTCATTTGTTTTCGCAGATACTTTTGGCATACGACGACTTAATTATGTATCAGACTTGACGTGGAAGACTCACGGAATCAGGTGAACACGACAACACTCCGACAAGTAGGTAAACAGGAGGGTGAAAGGGGAGAAAATAGACTGAGGAGGCGTTTCACGCGCCATTTGGTGTCAAAGTGATTGCAACTGAATGCTACGCTTTATGGTGGAGTTGAACGAATTCAGCTTGGCCGACTACGCGCCCCAGGCTCTGAGAGAGGTCAACATCACCGCACAATGCAGCTGTGCAGTGCGGTATTCTCTGCTTGTTGAAAAAGAAGCTGCATTCGACTCCTCCCAGCCAATCAAACAATGCCGTCGGATTTAGGACGCACGCAATTTGAGCTACACTCAGCAGACACAATCACTGACATGACCTGTTGCCAAGGCAACCGATTCAGCACCAACGACGTGTTGCGAAATTCCTAGTAAAACGCCAACTGTCAGACGCTGCTTTGACCACTACAGCGGCCACTCAACAGCTGTCAAAAATGTAAACAATTTATGCAAGAGGAGAGAATTTACAATCAAGTATCACATACCAGCACGTCAGGCATTTGTGACGTCACTTTTGTGGTCAGAAAACCCGGAGTAGGGCGGTCACGTAGGAGATGACGCAAAGAGAAGAAAGGCCAGTGAACCGCCATTGTTACGTTTCAGTATGGCGTTATGAGGTTTGCCGCCACAGTACATGGAAAGCTTTTTAAGAAGCACACATTTCCTATTTTCTGTCATTTGTCTTCTCCGGATAGGCCGCATGAAGTGGCTACGCCATCGGAAGGCGTGGTGCAGAATTGCCCCCTAGGCGCTCCTAACACCGACTTCTACGGCCATAAATTAACCTTGCGGCGATCCTTTAAAGCCTTCTTTGAACAAGACGCGGGCTGCGGCAACGTCAGCAGCCTCCCAAAGTCAGCAGGTCCTCATAAGCAGTAAATCGGGCAAAAGGTGGTTTATTTGCCTGAATTAGGAAAGGGGATGAAAGTGTAGGAAGGGGGCGGGGAGAGGAGGAAAATCAATCCCTGTGCCTAGTAGACTAGCCCAAATTAAGTGCAATGACCTCGTGACTGTTTGGAAAGCGTCAAGGTCAATTGCGTCCGAGATGGTGGATCCCAGTCCGGCAAAAGATTTATTTTAAGCTGCTGAGGTCCTCTTGATGACAGCATTTTGTCCCCTTTATGACATCAACAGTGCATATGCATTTTGACCCTTAGGCATTTAAAAGAATCATTTTGTATGCCGAATTCACAGGGGTGCGTTATCTTTGACGGTATCAATTAATCAGAAAATGATGGTGCTTGTTGAAACCAACATTGGACAGGTGAAGGGTGAAGTGAATTGTTCTACTTGCAACGAATAATTTGTGATCTTCCGCTGGCACAAACAGGTTGTCAAGGTTTTTTTGGCGGAGGCACGAAATAACCCCTCAGTATCTAAAGGATTGGAGCGCATTTCCAGATGTGTTGCCATGGTTACATGTGGCGATTTTGGTTGCGGCTTCTCCGAATCTCTTTTTTCTGTAAGCTGCAATTTAAAAAATGAGTCACTTTTTGACAACGCACCATATGCATGTGTTGTCAAAAATTCCGTACAATTTTTTAAACATTTTTAAAACTCATGGCTAAACTTTTACGTCTGCATTCATTGGGAGTGTTTCGTTAGACTTTGAACAAATTGAAATGAAGGTCTTAAATTTATGAAGCATTGTCTCATGAAGGTGGCACATGATTCAGTAAAGTAAACTGCAGTCAGATCTAGTATTAACTCAATTTTATGACACATAACATTTCCATTACACGGCTTGAAAGGCCATGCGTTGTAATTGCAGCTATAATACATTGTTCGAGTGTTTGCAAGCGTGGGTGACATTGTTGGATCTGCTTAGTGAACTGGTTGCCGGGGCTTAAATGCATGTATTCCGACAAGTATTTAGCTCTTTAGTCTTTATTAAGAAGTCTTGGATGCCACAGTGGTTGACTAAATTTGTGCTCCTAGCGTCATGTTCTTCCCTCAATTTTGCCATATTTCAAGCAAAGAAGCCCAGACATATGCGTAACATTATGATAAATGGGAGAGACCGTTAAAGGAGCAAGCCAGTAAAAGGATGGGATAGTGCTTCGGTGCAACTCATCATGGGCTAAGAAGAAGAGACAATCGTCAGACGGCTCTCCCATCTTTATAAAAGTGTAGGCAAATGCGGTTAATAATTTAGGAAACATGCAAGCACATCGCGACCCACTTCTGAGAGAAGCTGAGGGCAGAACAGTACAAAAAGCTTTTATATTTTGATTCCTGTTGATTTGTTCAACATTCGAAGGGATAAAATAGACGCCGAAACACTTAGTGACTCTAACATTAACTGATCCAATGAAACTTTAAAATAATTGATGGCCATTAATCTCAAGACTAAATTGTTATTATTTTATAAGACTATTTGTTTTGCTTTTTACGAGTTCATGTCTGGGAAATTGGGAGCAGCAGATATCTGTCCTTACTCAAGAGCTTATTTCGATAATTCATATTACGCTAAAAATTTGATAACAGAAAGCCAAAATCCATTGCAAAAAATTGTTGTTGACAATTGCTTCATAAAAATTAGTCCGTAATTTCGGTAAGTGGAGTATTTTCCTTCTAACTAACTTGATATTCGAGCTTGAATTTATTATAAAGGCGGCAATCAACTTTAATAAAATGATTATAAAAATTAAAAATAAATTTTTTAGCTAATTTGCATGCACAAACTTAATTTTTCATCCATGCGTGTTTGCTTTTATTGATTCCACGATTTGCATACAACGGATAGTGAAGGTCTTTACCTCCTTGTGCGCGCTTTGATTTACTGTTTTGTTGATTATGGCGTTTGTGGAACCGAATTCCCTCTTTCGCGATTATTCTACAGAACTGGTTTTCGATACATCATGTGAGTGGGAAGAAAAGCTCATTTCTCACATTGGACACGCTTGTCGACTTAATATTGATCAAGTGGCTGAATACCCTCGTTCGACATGTATCGCTTGCACGTTAGGTCCATATACTTTTATTGGGATAGTGCCTTTTAGGTGATTCTTGGTGCACAGCCGATGGTATTACAAAAATGATTAAAAATGGGATGAATATATTGAGGCTAAATATGGGGGTCATATCCAGGGATATGTGCCGTAAGACCATCAATATTGTTCGTGCTTTGGATGAGCTTTCAAGTTATCGAAACTGTACTGCAATCGCTGTGGATTTATCGGCTGAATGCGTGCGGACGGGATCTTTTGAAGGGGTACCAACTGCTATTGGAAGCTAACAGCTGTTTTAAGGGTCCTGAGACGACTGTGGTGTTTCAAGAAGGCGACAAAGTGGAGCTAACTATGGACGAAAGTGTAAAAAATAAGTGTACAAAGGAACGAATATACATAAACACTTCAGCATTTCCGCAAATGATTCATCATCTTTATAAAGGCGATCGGATATACTTTGGTGACGGTCTTATTTGCCTTATCGTAAAAGAGGTCGGCATGGACCATATTGCATGTCTGATTGAGGAGGGAGGTAGTGGCAATGGTATATTTTCTTTCACAAAATTAAGGTCCGATTGCTGGTTGTCAACGGGTTGTTTTGCCTCGTGAGCGGCTATGTCACCGCTGCATTGAAGCCAATTACACGAAAGACTTGGCCTTCGCCGCTGAATGCGAAGTTGACTTTGTATTCACCAGCTACGCAGACAACGCTCAAATGATCTTGGATGCCCGAGCACGACTGTCTCCACACACGAGAATCTTTGCCAAGATCGAGACCAGAGAGTCCGTACGCAAGTAGGTCGTTCGTTATTCATCTACATCACTTCATTTCCTAGTCTTACTCAACTGATTGAACACTCGGATGGGCTTGTTGTTTCTCGAGCTGATTTGGGTATTGAGTTCCCACCGGAGAAGATATTCAAATTGCAAAAATACATAATTGCACACTGCAATGTAGCGCGGAAGCCTGTCTTTGTGATTGCTCAACTTCTAGAGTCCATGTACAATAAGCCCAGACCAACACGTGCTGAGGCATCTGATATCGCTAACGCTGTTCTTGATGGAGCGGACGGTCTTATTCTAACCATTGAAACCGCGGAAGGCATTTATCCTTATGATGCTGTGAAGTTTATGTGCCAGGTATTCCATCTTTGCGCCTCATTCTCCTGCTAGATTTGTCGCGAGGCCGAGAGAGCACGCTTTCATAAGACCATTCGTGCTGAACTTAATGCCTGTCGACTGGCGCGGGGTCTTTGCAGACAAAACGCCTCCCATGTCACAGCGTTGTCAGCTGTAGAAGCAGCGGAAAATAGCCACGCAAAGGCCATCTTCGTCATCACTACGAGTGGAGCGTAGGTTGAAGTTACACCGAAATTCTATCTCGTGGTCATAGCATAAGAAATTATTGTCGCTTTGGCTGTGCCCCACATAACAGTAAACATGGAGGACCTCTTATTACTCTTAGGTGATGTCTGTGTTGTGAACTGACCTAATCTGGACGCCGTTAGTCAAGACGGTGGGTGAAAGTTTATTAGGTACACGCGCATTGACTCCTTTGTCGGCAGAGGCACGGAGATCCGCGAGTATGAGCAAGAACTGGCGGGTTTCCCATTTGCCAAAAAACCTTCGAAATTGTTTGGCCGTGAGACCATGCCTTGATGGTCATGTTTCTATCTTGTTGTCTCAATTATCAGTCCTTCAAACGGTTACTTAGGTCTGGATAGTTGGTATTCTTTTACGAGGGGTGGAGTCGCTCAAGGGACAAATCTTACTGTGGGCATGACGGAAATAAGCCTCACAACCAGTTTTGAATGCCATCTTTTACAAACAAAATTCTGGCGTGCATGCACTGGGTATCGTTACTTTAGACCGACTGTCTTGGGGTGATTCATCTATACCAGCGAGTCTTTTTGGTTAACCTAATTTAGGTATTAGTTGCGGAGTTGATTTGGGCACTGATACGGCTCCCACCCATTGAACATCTTCGTAGCCCTTTCGTCTAGGCCAATTCGCCATTGCGTGTAGTCCTGCCCATCCACACCCCCAGGGGAACACTTCCTTACGCTATCTTTTACGAATCACTAGTTTTCATCCATCGCTTCAAGTTGAGTGCATGACTTGAGACACGGCAAAGACAAGGCGGTGTGCCATTCTGTAAACGACTACTTGTTCCTTGCTTTAACAGATTTCTGACGCTCTATTTAGCATTCAAAACATTAGTGCTGTGCATTAATTTTTTTTTTTATTCTGTGAATGGAATGTGCGATCGCCCGCCTTTTCTGTAGGTGTCTTTGAGTTCGCTTTTGGAGACGGTGACCTGCTTATGTTTCCTTGGAGGTCAATATTTTTGGGATGTTATTGGTAGTGGTGGTGGTGGTGGAGGTGGAGGATTACGTGGATCCACTTTCTTACTATCCATCAGTTCCGCCTTCCTCTTTTTTTAAAAGTCCATGCGCTCAGGAGTGTCCATCCATCTGCTGAATCCAATAATCTGTGGGTAAGCCATCCACATGGATCTCTGTTGGCTCAATTATCATCTCTTGTTTCCATGCTGTTCGTCACATCTTCCCTTTAACATCTTCGAAGAGGGTATTTTGTTATTCACCAGGTCAATGGTCGGTGTGCTTTGATGGGTGCTTACTCTACCTCTTTCCCTCCTCCCTCTCCAAGGTCACGGCTGTGTCAAGGGAATTGAATTGTCCCAACGACTGGTGGTCTTCTAACCACTGGTTGCACTTCGTGTAGTTCCTAGCGTCATGCAGGCAACCTGAAACGAGTGTGATCGGTTAGTACGTCCGTCCTCTTTTCCAGACTAGCACGTACGTTAATGCAGTCCAAACAACATTTGAAGCATTACATTTGTCTTGGGTGAAATTACTTGTTAGTAATGTGTGAGGTCTTGATGTATGTGCCGATTTCAGTCGCTTAGGTTGCTGCTGTAAATTTCGCACAGTTGACGTTTCTACTTCGCGTTTTAGGGATGGCTAAGTGCCTCCTCGATGCTCTTTGAGTAAAATCATTCCTTTCCTAGTGTTAAGCGCGCCGCTTTTATTTATGAGTCTTGTAACAACCTTATCCTAAAACAAGTGTCAAATCTGGGTTTTCTCACTTTTCAGCCACCTCAATAACAATAACAACTGTTGATCCTATTCAGTCGTTTCTCTCCCTATCAGTGTATCATCATTTTAAGCACAAAAGTTTACAGTTGAATATTGTGTAATGGCGGCTCCTTTTTTTCACCTGTCGTTTGATTGAACTACTCTTTGAAGTGCTCGATGTCTGACTTGGATCCTAGTTTTGCTGACAACTTTACAAGTTCTTGGTCTCTTGGCTGAAAAGAAGGTCTCCTTTGTCTCTCTATGCCACTTTATTTGATCCACGATCATCCGGCGGTGACTTGCGCAGTGGTCTGCCATGTTTCCTTCCAGTCGTCACTTTTGATTGTCGGCAAGACGTGCACAATTCTCCTCTCTCCCCCTCCCTCCTCTTTCTCATGACAGTGCAAGTTTAAATATACTGAACGTCAGCTTTGGGTTGAGTGTGCCTTCCATTCATTTTTGCCATGGTCGGCGCAAAACTGACGGCCTTTTGATCTTCGAATTCTTAAAGTAGTCAACTGTTTAGTGATCATCACGCAACGATTGAGCAAGTCTACTCAAGGGAGGAGGCTTCTCTTGAAAGAAGGAAGTGATTGATGGACGGAGGGATTGTGTTGGGTCCCCAAGCTACTACCTTTCCGAGGCCGATATTGTAATTGTGTTGTTCTCTCAGTGGAGGAGTTTGGAGGGTCACCAACCTATCCCCTCCCACGGTTTGTGCTGCCAATTGCTGCCTCTTCACCATTCCAAACGTTTCTGCACTTTACTTTAACACTTCCAACATCCATAAACAGGAAGAAAAAAGGAACCTCTCTTCTTCACCTTTCAGCGTCCCTTCCTCTTCAACTGGGCCCCCTGATGGAGCATTAACTCTAAGGAATAAGTGATAGGCATTCTGGAGAAAGCAGAGAATGGCGATTATTCGTGTTGAAGATTGTTAAGGGGGTTGTGATTTGTGGATAAGATGTGTCGCTTTCTTCCGTCCTTCTACGGCACTATTTGGTCACTTTGTGGCCGGTTACAAATGCCACTTTAAGTGAGCACATCATGTGCTCTTCAAAGGACGATGATCTTAAAGCACTCAAACTTATTAAGACTTTCTTGTCACCCTTTCCTAGCGGGAAGGGAGAGTCGGATGTTGAGTTTTGGTCTACTGATTGATTGACTTGTGGTGTTTACCTAGTTTCCTGCCTTCACTAACTGCCTCTGCCATCCTCTCAACCTACTAAGCCAACGACAACAGACTGTGCTCTCAAAGTCCACTTCGATGGCCTCAAGGAAACCATCTTAACAGCTAGACAGAAGGCGGGAAAGACCTTCTACTGGCTTCTGGGAATTCAAATACGAGACCGTCGGATGTGTTATGTCAGCCTTTTTCTTCTACTCCCTTGTCTGTGACTAGCGCACAAGGAAAGTGGAACAGGAGTGCAGAGTCTGTCCATGATGGCGTGGTTCGTGAAGAAGGTCTCTCTACGGCAATACTTTGATATTCTGGACAATCAAATATTTCCCCAGAAAAGCGAGACAAATGCGATAACTGACTCCCAACTAATCAGTACGAGGTTATTCTCCTCTACAAATTTCGAGCAGTCCAGCATTCCTGACAGAAGATGTGCTTCAGTTCACTTTTTGATCGCGGCAATTAACCATGAAATGACTTTTACATCAATCAAATGCTATTTCATTCGACCTTCCATATTTAGGTCGGCCATCGCCGTAGCCTCCGCGGGTCCCTGTTGTCCGGTAATCGCCATCACACGCCATCCTCGAGTGGCTCGTCAGTGTCGGGCCTACAGCGGCCTCTTTCCTTTCGTCTACACCGGTATGCTTGAGTCGTTCATAAATGTTTTCTTATGATTTGGGGATTTCAAGTGTGACGTCTTTGTTTATATTGATGTGTCACTGCTTTGAAGTGCTGTTCGACAATATTTCCTCTGACCAGTGCCATTGAGCATCAGTCTTGTGAGAAAATCAACTGCCTCATACCTTTTGATGCTGAATTGGCTTTCTCCTTGTCAAACATGATCAGCTCTTGTGATCGGTGGGCATGGACTCATCCAAAAAAGGTGTAGGCGTCATCTGGTGGATGGTTTAAGATCTTTGATTTAGGGGCACTTCCAATTTACGGCAAGTGGCAAACTTTCTGTAGTTACATGCTTTGGTTTCGCGACACATCTTACTTTCTCTGTTGTATTTGGTGATTTTTTTCCTAAAACATACTACATGAATGCGGCAATCACAAAAAGAGACCTCCAGCCATTGGCCGTAGGTGCATCATTTTGTGCTTCTTCTGAGGTCTAGTTCCGGACTTTCCTCCTCCCTAAGTTTATGATCGCCTTAGCAACGGGAATCCCCTTGAAAGTAGACAGAGGCTGAAGAATTGCGTCTGGCCTCATCGTCTTCTCATGCTGTAGTGCCTCCAGGCAAATGAAAGAAACAGACGAATTCGGATGTCTTCACAGATAAAGTACAACTTCACCATTTACTAAGGCGATTCGTCAGATCGTGACCGAGGCATCTTCCAGCTCCTCTCCTACACTTGACTCCTTTGGGTGTACTCATCTCGGGTTTCAAGGAAATCTGACATTCATTAGTCATTGACCTCGTTTCGTCAAGTAGTTGCAGTAGCAGTATCACGGTGTCACCTGAAAGGATCGAAGCAGTAAGCATCTCAGCTCGTGATTTGATGCTCACTTTGATTCTCCTCCATAGAGGATGTGTCTGGAAGCGTGTGATGGTGAGAATGGGAATCAGTGCTACTTTACACAGCCAGTCACGATGGCTATCTGAGAGGAGTGCCGGAGGCGATTGTCGTCTCCCACCCAACTGTGGATAGTTGCTTAGTCAGTGTTGAAGTGAGAACCCTCACATTTTGGTGCGGAAGTGATGCCACAATCATCGAGGATCTGTATGTAGGGCAACAGGGACGATTGCATACTTGGAGCCCGAAAGAAGACGTCTTGAATGTAACAGTCTGGACATCACACTTGCTTTTGCAGTCACAGACTGTTCAAATCACATCAATCTCACACCTTATCCATCCTCCTTGGTTTCCATTTTGGTCATGATTTCGAGTGTTTATGACACTGACGGTTAAATTTGGGCTTAGGCTCAACTTGCTAACACGGCCAATAATCTCCCCAAACTGATTGAAGTCTGGCCCGTACAGGATTTGAGAGGATTGTCCCCTTTTGAGTCGTTTTTCTTGAACCTGGCATCAACTGTAAGTCCAATTTTTTTGTCACCGCGGTTAGGCAAACAACTGGAAAACTGGTCGGAAGACATGGATCTGCGACTCAACACAGCAATTGATGCTGCCCGTGCTGATGGTATTGTCCATCCGCGTGACAATGTCATAATTGTCACGGGCTCGATGGCAGGTCCAGGAAACACCAACACAATGCAAATTTTTCAGGTTGGTTAAATGATTGTTTTCCTACATTTTACCATAAAGTCATGCAAATCAGTGGAAAATCCATCATCTCATGGAATCATTTTTTCGTGTCCATCCATGATTTCAATGTAACGTCCGAATTGATGACTCAGTGTAGAGACGGGAAGTTGAAGATCAGCTTGATGTAATGGGTTCATCAAAATCCAAAAGGCGGTACTGCTAACGCATACCTTTTCGGTGTGTATGAGATAGGGAGGAGGTTTTTGTCTCCTTGCATTTGATTGGACTTTTAGAGCGCTTAAAATGCACTACATATCCATCAACAGTTTCATAATGCTACTTTCCAGGCCATCCAGTAGCGCGTAGACACAATTTTAACGGCAAGCCAACTGTCATTCACTGAAGGGAAGAGATGGTGTCGTGGCACAAGCATTCATGGATTGAGGCCAGATGTCTTGGTTGGAGTGAAAGAGAGAAGTGAAAAATGTCTCCTCTATGAATAAGCATTTGCTAAATGAGTGGATGTTGCGTGCTTTACAGTGTTAAAATGTGAGTTGGTCGTGGAACACGTTGTAGAGAGCATTCGACCACATCTCCAAACCGTGCGAACACTCCGCAATGTCAGGTGTCAAGTGCCAAGTTGGTGGCTTTTGGCTTGACTGAATGTAGGTGGGTGGACGAAAGAGGAACGCCTAACTATCGCTATGGCAATGGCATGATTAATCTTTTCCCCTCCTCCTCTACATCGAACAACAAGTCCCGCTGTTTCTGTAGATCGTGAAATGGAAAATCACCCTCCCCATTCCCTCATGACACAGTGACAGAGGCAAGCCATTATCGAAATCAGAAATTGGGAGAGGAAATCATGCATCAGTGGAAGTTGGGTCGGCAGTTGTTCCTGTGAATGGTATTGCTAGCAATGAGGTAACGGATGATCGTCGTCTGGATTAAATCAGTGCTGGTACTACAGATTTTGGAGCGCTTACCTTGGAGATCCTTTCCCTGTATCTCCTTGATGCGTGGTCTACGTTTGCCTTAGTCGAAAAAGATGGATCACCATTCTGTTGTCTCCAAAAGATGCACATCTCAACTTCCATCTTTAGTGGTCACTATTACAATAAGAGTTGGATTGGCCTTGAAATAGATCGTCGAAATCTGAGGAGGCAAATTTAAAGTGCCTCTCTGTGATTCAAATTTTATGGACTGGTCTATCCACACCTTCCTTCGGAAGGAGATTTGTTTGATCTCCAGCCGGATTTTTGACTCTAATGTGTGAATAAGCGTTTGCAAAATAGTTTTTTAAGGATCTTCAGTGACTGTTAGGTTGGCATTTTTGTTTCCTAGAAGGAAAATCACTACGTCCTTACTCTGCCTGATCGCATATTGTGTCAACCTGTGGAGGTCCTTCATTCTTTTCACATGGAGACGAGTGTTGACTTCCGATGATCTTGACTCACACCTCTCTCCTTTCCCGTATTTAGGTGCCCGGCAATAAGTCTCACTTGAAGGTTGTCTCTTCCATGAACGAAATCGTGTACCCTGACATTGACCTGCAAGCTCTACGATTGGCCAATGGAACCGGGGATTCGATGTACCTTCAACGAGGTCCAGATGGCGTTGACTTACTCCAATGTCCGTTGTGATTGTTCTATGCTTGTCAAAAGGAATTGTTTCTGCAAATTTATCACTTCTTTGCATTTTTAGTAGGGCTTTGACGTGTAAAGGCATTCCTTAAGCAAACATTGAGGACGAGTTGCTTATGCATTTTTCTCTGACTAGGCAAATGATCGTGTGAGTTAAGGATCGTTTGAGAGGCCTGTCTCTGCCTCTGTAGGGTCATCAGTGGGAATTATGTTAGTGTGACCAAGTCTTATCGGCTCGATCTTTTTCGTCCTATGCCTCAACACACCCAGTTACTGGTACTTGTAAGGGCTTGGAGAGCAGGAGTTTGACAACTCTCAACCAGAACGACAAGAAATGTACATTGTCAAGCTTCTAAGTGAGTTTGCGCATCAGAGTAGTGGAAGTGACCAAATGAGTGAACGAGTCTGGTGTGCCTCAAACCTTTGTCCTCCAATTCACTACCGAATTTCTAGCCTCTCAGCCCTCAAGTTAGTTTCAACCTGTCTTACCTCCAGTTTCACCTTCCAAAAAGTCTATTTGGTAGGACACATCACACTTGCAACTCAATGGTGTTTTTTGGTTGTGCGTGCGTGTGTGCGTGCATTCGTGCGTGCGTGTGTGCGTGCGTCCACGGCACTGTGTATGAGTCACGCGATTGCAAGCCGATGACATGCGGACGTAGCGACTAAGCCACCGCGATGGTCAAAATCGCATTTATGATTTGATTGAACACATGTGAATGACTTGTGTGTGAGCTCATTGAGGAGATCCTGAAGTGGACAGGTTTGGTTCTAATTCTTTGAATACTTGTTTTGACTGGCGAATTATGAAGGCATCCTCCAGTGTGTTTGTCATACTTGAAGAACAGACGAGCGCGTAGATTTGTTTGCTACTTCATAATGGGGACAAAAAAACTTGATACAAGTTTTCCTAATCATTTGTTAGGGCAAAAAGGTGAAACAGACATGACTTGTGAACATTACAAACCTGCAACTCAACTTTTTGATGAGTAGAACAACTTGCTTTACTGCCTACGTCACGCTCAATTCACAATCAGTAGCAAATGTTAGTTTAGGAATTGGAGAAAAAGTAGGAGCGCCTTTGTATTCCCCCAAGCCCTCCAAGCGCCACTAGAATGGCCTGCTCAAACGAGCGAGCGACGTGAAAGTTGATTATTGTCAAGGCGTAACAAAAGATCAAAAATGCAGAGGTCACAATGCTTGTGCAACTCTCTACACACTTAAGCAGAAAAAAAATAAAAGTAAAAACAACCAATATTCATAACTATCAGCTAATTCAAAATATTGTCTTAACAGCTAAAGTTGGTTTTCTTACGAACAATCAGTGGGTCTACTGTTAGGCATCAAGTAGTATAAGCTGATGCGCATTTTAACTCAAATATTATGTGAGTAAAGCACCTTTTGTGGCTTCAATCGAACGACGTCACCCATTCTTGGGCAAAAAATAATCATTTTCGGATTCCTTTTAGTGGTCCTAACAAGCTGAAACCATGCAGGATGCTGAGATTTTCTTTGTTTGGATAAACGAATGCTTTACTTCGTCAATGAAAAGGAACACTCTTAATTTGGCTCCTCAACATTTCTCCACAGACTGTACTTCTGCTCTTTAAGATAGACTCTGTATCACTTTGGTGGGCGCTCAGCTCCTACAAAATTACTAGAGGTGTCGAATTGGTGGCAGAGGAGGTCGGTCCTAGCCCTGCAGCCCAAACATGCAGTTTATGTGCCCTTAACTGCTAGCCTTCAGTATAGTTGTAGGTGATGTCTGTGTTCGACAACAAATGTGGTCCTGCAATCTCCACACTTGTCTTTGTCAAAATTTGAACACTTGCTAATGCACTTGGCTTGTAAAGCACCGCCAATGTTGTAAGCCTGTAATGCCTTTTTATGCCTCTCACGAGCTGGATGGAACCCAGATAGCAGCACTAAAGTGGACGGGGGGACAGACACAAAGCCTCATCTGTGCGAACCTATTTTTAGCGCTATCCTCCATTAAGTTCCTTTTAAGCCAGCAATGGACAAGGGAGTGACTCCCTTGGATACAGATCTGAACAAAGTAAAAGCTTTCGTTTTAGTGAACACTTTAACGGATTTGCCAGTGCTGTCAAAAATTAAGTATCGTCTTGGCTTTACACTACTTCAATGACTAAGGTGGGTGGTTCGTAAACATATTTTACCGCATCTACTGGCACCGCAGGAGAGTGAACTTCAAGGGCGAGGACTCGATGCAAGATAGACTGAGTCCTGTTTTTCCATGTTGGACATGAACTCAGCAGCATGGCCTTTTGAAGGGCTGTTAGATGGGTTTTGACATTAACGAAAGTTCCAGACTCTGTACCGACTGGAGAAGAGTGATTTGAGTGGATGCTGTTAAGTCCATGGGAGAGGAGAGCGCCTTACAGCACTGCAACTAACGTGTCGGTAGACAGCAAAAGGAGCAGTTAATTGGCTCTCCATTGTATAATCCAATTTTACCCATTTGGCATTACATGAAGATGCACTTTTAGACTTCATTTCTCTAATCCCTTTGTCACACAATTGACACCAGAATCGATGGAAACAAAAAAAACTGTTTGAGGTCCATTGTTAGAACATTTTTATTCACTCAATTACTTTCCTTTTTGAAGCCCAGGAAGGGTAATTTAAATGGAGAGTCACATACCCACACATGTGCACACTTTCATGGCCCTCTTTACATTAGAACGTTAAGGTCGGCGCCCATACAAGTTTTCTTGTTGTTGGTGTCATTCAAAACCACAATTTTTTTGAGGGGGGGGAGGGGAAGGAGAAGTCTGCTGGTTTCCCTTGGATTCGTACAACTGCAAAACACTTGTAAGGCATGCTGTCTACTTAGCAGTTGCGTAACCCATAAAGCGGTGGATTTTTGTTTGCATTAGTGGATGTCCAAGTTTCTCCGGTGCAATAAGTATCGTTAGAGCGAAAGATATGCACAAATGTGAGTGCCTTTTTTACGAGGACTTGTTAACGTGCATTTGGACTTCACAGCTATCAGTAGCAGCTTGCTGTGGTCTAAGAAGATGAGCAAAATTTGGCTTAAGAACTTAAGATCCTGTGATACTGATTTTTTTGAATGCTTAAATGAAGACCATCCAATGAACGACTCTGGTTGTCAAAACAACCACCGAGACGCGATTATGAAAGGAAAGGAAAAACAGAAACTAGCAGCAAAGCTTAGTCACCCCGTCACTGCACCGACTTACTTTACCATTAGCCCCACAAACAATCTTCTACCAATCGCAAATTTTGTACTGATAAAATTTAAACTTTGATAGGGCCCTTTAGGGAGTGCTGATTGAACAGATTTATGGCCACTAGTAATGCCACGTTTTAACAGAAAGGTATGAAATTGTTTAAACGAAGTGAATA